CCCCCCCCCCCCCCAGTCTGAATAGGGTTAATTTTTTTTCACCAGTCTCAAGTTCTCGTACCCAGATTCTCGCACCCTTATCTTGGCCGCCATTTTGAATAAATTTCCACTGTCCGTGGACAAATCGGCCACGTGATTTCTGCTGGGTGCCAGGGTCTTCTCTCTTACAGCCGCCATATTGGAAAGCGAGAAGACCCTGGGCGCCAGGGTGCGGAATAACCTTCGCAGCAGGCGCGCGAAGTTTAAATAGATTTCAAAAAATTATCATAGGGCACGAGGATCCGTTCTCTTAGCTCATTCTCTCTTGCGGAAAAATAGGGAACTGTGAACAGCCTATTCAACTAAGTCCTTTTCCATTTTTCATAAAATGACTAAAAATAATTAATATGTTTATTGCCCCCGCAGGGATTTCGCCTAGAAGGCGAAATCCCGAGGAGGCACTCTAGTAACTCGCGCGTATATTAAGGAAAGTACTTACAGTATATACAGTCATACAGTCAATATAGAGAAAATCTCGATTTGTTGGAACAGGGGCCGCGAAAAATCGGTAGGTAATGATGACGTTTCTATTGTTTGCTCCTGCAAGTACGAAATGGTTAGGATGACGTAAAACAAAAAAATCCCGAAGGAAGAGCTTACAATAGGTAGATTTTGTGCCATTAATTCTGCAGTCACACTTCGATACTCTTTTGCGTTACGTGTAATCCGTGACATTCTGTCGAGCAGTTGTTATGAAAGTTATGGACCAAAAGACACTCGTTAAGCGCAGATGAAGTTATAAGGTGCGTAGAACAGTGTATATTTTAACACTAAGTGAGTTTGCCAGGCATGAGTTCAGAAATCTTTGATTGGAAACCTTCAGCTGAACCAAGCACTCTTTCCCTCTCTTTGACCGGAATAAGACTCGGCCCAAAACAAGCAAGACGAGCGAATGATTCAACGGCTAGCTTATCACTAGCAGAACGATGGACGATTACAGAAATTCGCCGACCATCTAATTCTGCGCTGACTTATTCCCTGCTCACAGATGTCCTTCTGCAAAAAAGTTTAAAATAAGACTAGAAAGCGCGAGCGTGAATTGATCAAACGTCCTTTTAATTTCTAAGCCTTACTTCCCCGCACACGAAATGAACTAAAAGTAAAAAAAGAAATAGAAATAGCGAAAAATTAAACTTCTAATTAAATCCTTTCTTATGGTTTAGAATAAACTATTCTTGCAACTGAGAATGTTTATGTTTTGATTAAAGCACAGGTAGCCCAAGCTCACTATGAGAGCCATGAACAACATTATCCTACTTAGCTAATTAATTATTCATACATGTCATCTGGGTGAAAAACTGTCGCTCAAAAAAAGGCCTTTAACAGTGCCTAAGAGGTCTGAAATGCAGGCAGAATACAAAGAAAAACAAGAAGACGCTAAAGGTAAGCTTCAAAGCGATATTCAATGTACATTTTGCTAATTTAGTGAGCAAAGAACATTTCTCCATACAACGTCTTATAATTTTCTTGCTGTATGAATAATTAATTACCTAAGTAGGATAATGTTGTCCATGGCTCTCATAGTGAGCTTGGGCTACCTGTGATCAAAGCTGTAAATCGAACCGAAACTGTGCATGGAACCTTGCGTTTATTTCCTGTATTTATCTCTCCTATTGTATGGAATATGTGTGAACATCTTCATTATGAATCGGTATATTTCAAAGAGCTACAGAAGGGGCAGGAATGCTATTGACCGACAATATACAGAGTGGGGGCAGCTGTAGTGTCAACTATTACTAGTTGTTATTGAAACGTTTTCGAAGTAATTGTATATGACCAAACGACAAAAACAGCACATGGTTATTAAAACACCTACTTCCTTACTGGTACTTTAATTTCGCAGGTCTTTAATTTCGCGTTTTTCGAAATCAAACGCACACGAAATTTAATACCCGTATAGAAAATTCAAAAAAACAGTTAACATGTAATAGCAACGATATGTATCGAGAGACGCAAATTGCTTTCTGGTTATGCTGATAAGCTCCTTTGTTTATCTTCCGTTAGTAAAATGACAATAGTTTACAAAGACAGTTTCACACATTGCTTGTTCCGGTTCATTTATTTTTTTAAGGGTTCAGACTTTTTAAAAAAGGAAAATGAATTTGAGAACGCTTTTACCGCGAAATTTAATGCTCTTTTTTATGTTTACCTGTTAAAATTGCGAAAATAAGACCACGCGATATACGCGGAAATTTAGTACTAATAATTAAGGTATTACATAAACATAAGAATTCATGCATTTACGTCCTTTTCTATTGTACATAAAATGACAAAAATTTATGGATAAGTTTATTGGTATTGAAACGTGTCCGTAATTGCAGATGACAAAACGACAATACAGCACACAAAAAACATGCAACTACGTCCTTTTTCATTTTTCAACAAATGACTAAAATTGATATGTTTGTTGTTATTCAAACGTACCCGTAACTGTACGTGACAAACGACAAAAACAGCACATAGTTAATAAAACACCTACCGCTGTTGTGACATGACAATTCATCCAACTACGTCCTTTTCGATTTTAGATGTATTAATAACGGTAAGCTCTGTTAAATAAAATGACACTGACAGTTAAGATTAAGTTGAATCAGCTCCAAGGCAAAGTTTTGAATGGAGCTGCCACGAATAAATTGGGGGAGGGCGAAGTAGAGAGATTTTTGGTTGATAGCTTGCAACTCGAAAAAAAATGTAAGAAAAATAAAACGATTGAAAAAGATGAAGAAGTATTCAAAATATATTAAATATTGAAATAAAAAAAATTAAATCATTATTTAAAGGGACTGTGTCACGTCTGGCTTGTTGCTTTTGTTTGTACTGCCAGTAAGACATCCTCAGTCGCAATGGAACTTAACGTTATCGAAGAAATTATTTGTGCATATTATGACACATGTGTACAATAACTAATTCTCATTTTTATTGACTAAACTCGTAAATGAGCTTAACATTTAATATATGAAGCTGTCTATGCGGAGTGCAAAGAAAAACTTTTTATTTGCAGTTTAAAAAAATGTTTTCACGACTTTTTCCCAATTTTGAAGAAAAATACTTGATGGTAAAGCTATTAAGAAAACTTCAACGCACTCACTAATCTATCAGTAATAACGACTAGTTATAAGTGTTAGCTTTTGGCGAGGGGTTGCCAGCCGAAGCGAGGACTAGAAACAAAACTGACGCCCGAAGGTAATTTACATCGATTAAAGCCAAAGAAACGATTGGTTGTTTTTTAGAAGTGATTGGTGATTTTACGCCATAGACCATAAATACATGTCTCAGTATCCAGTTGGCTCACCTGACGCAGGGGCTAGATTTTCCTGTTTCACTTTTTACGATTGAAACTTTTAACCGACAATGGAAGAAAAATAAACCATAAGGAAACAAAGAAATTGCTAACACTTCAAGGTTAAATTGATGTAAAAACGCCCGTGTAAAAAAGTGACAAGACAAGTGGTAAAAGAATGCCTTTTCAGCCTTTACATTTCAATAAGACAATGTCAAACAACACAGACTTCGATCGCGACCCACCAATTACGGACGAAAGAATTGTTAAAGTTGGCTTTTACATTGCTTCTTTTATCTTCGGTTTTGGAGGTAACAGTCTGGTAATAACAGTGATGTCAAGGAAGAAACAGAAACGTTCGATTCCCAGACTTTTTATTCTTAATCTCGCTATTTCCGATTTAAGTTTCATCACGGTTTTTGTGCCAATAAACATCTACTCTTACATCAGTACAATTTACCAAAACTCGTACTTTTGTCGACTCTTAATACCTCTTGTGACAACAATCTATTTCGTGAGCATCTTCACTATCGCTTCCATGGCGGTGCATCGCTGTAGGTTGATTACTAATCCCTATAGACCTAAGATGAGGATGCGAAATGCATACATTTGGATCGCTGCCATCTGGTTTTCTTCCTTTATAATAGTCCTTCCCTTATCAGTCGTCTCTGAAAGTAACAACGGGATCTGCTACGAGAACTGGCCGTCCATAAATCATCGAAAAGCGTACACCATTGCTCTCTGCATTCTACAATTTGTGATACCTTTGTTAATCATTGGTGTTGCCTACGCTAGGATCGGTATCTATCTCAGACGATCAGCCGTTCCTCAAAGCTCCTTACCCGCACTTAAGAGAAGAAAAGAAAACATCCAAGTTATCAAAACACTAGCCATGATTGTGGTCCTGTTCGTGATTTGTTTGCTGTCTGGACAAATCGCCTGGCTTTTGCTTGATTTTGGAGGTCAAAAGGAATTTGAGATCGCTAAAGTGATCTTTAAATTTGCAGATATCCTTGACATTCTGCATGCATGCGTAAATCCCATTGTTTACGGGATATCAAATAAACATTTCCGTAGAGAGTGCATACAACACTTTTTTGATTGCTTTACCTGTGGCTCGAAGTAGCTAAGCCCGAAACGTTGTAAGGGACGCGCTGATTCATTTATGACACTGTGAAATGTGCCCTTTTTTTGTTTCATACTTCAATTGCATGGTGTAGCCCACACCTTTACCGTAGGTGTTCATCAATCTGTCCTTCAATAAAAAAACTTCCCGTCCTCTAGTAAATTTCTTAAAGACCCCTAAGAGGGGAAAATGTCTACTGACTAACTTGTGTATTTCTCAACAACAAAAATTGAGGCTATGTTCATTTCTTGATGAAATTGAGACACAAGCCAAGTTATAGAACCAGGAACACATCTACAGGGCAAACTGCGGTACAAGACCATCTAAAGATTAGCTAGAATGAGTTGTAGAATTGTAGAATTGAACTTTATACTGTACAATGTAAAACGCATACGGACAAGAGTAGTCTACTATGCTGGAAATTAAGCCTGGTTGTGTATAGGTATAGGTATAGGTAGATCATTAATATTCACATACCTTCCTGCATACTAATTCGGTATAGGTTTACTAATGAGCGTCTCTCTTCTACAATAGGCACAATAGGCTTGCCTCGGCTTGTCCGTTAAGTAACTTGAGCCCGGTTTTCGGACCGTCTATTAAAAGGAAAATAGGAACAAGAGAAGCGATCACTTAGCAACGCGAGATACGGCTTCCTATATCTTATTCAGCGCTAAAACTCAGATATATAAACAAAACACATACAGAAAGTGGAGTTGAAAAGTCTTCATTTCAATTTAGTTCAGGTCTTCTTATTTAGTGCTAAAACTCGGATATATACTGAACAAAACACACGTACATATACACACGCGCATATACACAAAGTGTATATGTCCAAACAATAGAAACGTGACGGTGGTGGTGGTGGTGGAGTGAATTTTTCTTTTTTTTAATGTAATTAATGGACATTATGATATTGACATTTCAAATAAGCTCATATTTTGTAAGGACAGAAAGACAGGTTATAACTTGAGGAAAAATGACACACAGGACCTTGTTCCAAATTTTAGTAGAACTGATGGTTTAAATTTTTTTTTTTTTTTTTTACCGTGTTGTAGATGAATGGAATGGTTTACCCAATCATATTAGAGAATCAAATAGTATTGCAACTTTTAAAAGAAATGTTTTAAGCTTTATTAAGGATAACTAGAACATTTATATTTCTATTTGTATATATTTTTCTTATATTTTAATTAGAGGGGGCATCCATTAGTATGGCGCATTGGCGCTTTTGGTTGTCTCCTCCTCCACAACTTTTTTTTGTTTGTTTGTTAAAGTAGTGTTAGCTTATTTCATTTCATTATTTACTTGTAATGTAGTGGAGTGAATCTGTAATAAATAAATAAATATATAGAATAAATGGAAAAATATATACAATAAATGAGGAGGTAGAGGTGGAGGAGGGAAATCAAGATTGAGGAGGGAAAGTAATAAAAATTGTGAAGGAGGAGGGAAAAAAAGAACGAGGAGGGAAAACAATAAAATTGTGGAGGAGGGAATAAAAACATTGAGAAGGGAAAATAGTAAAATTGTGGAGGAGGAGGAGAAGGGAAATATAAAACATTGTGCGTAAAAGGATGGCTTGCCTTCTTTGACTATTTTAATAGAATCTTTAGTCTGATCTCTTTTTTGCAATTATTTTAATAAAGGGTCATAAAGTTGATTTCTTGTGTCTTAAGAAACGTGTCTGGTTTTATTGCTAGCAATTATTAGTCGAGTGTTTCAATTGATCCTTTTAAATAATAGCCTGCGAAGCGCAGACGTATTTCGCGACGACCGGAAATACGTCTGCGCTTCGCAGGCTAGTTAAGTAATTAATTGGTTTTTTTGTGTGTGTTTTTATATAATAATACGTCAAGATGCTCCCTTGGGGTTTTTACTGCAGAGCTAATTTGTATGCAACGGTGGGCTTGTGAACTCGCATAATTACCTGACTAACGGCCCGTGAAACGCTGAGACTTTAATACTTTTTCATTTCCTCGAGATAGGAAGGAGAAAAAGGATTTGTAATAGACAAAATTGAACTAGAGAGTTTTCAGCTCCACTTTGTGTATATGTGCGTGTGTTTTGTTTACATATCCGAGTTTTAGCGCTAAATAAAACGTAAACTAACTTGAAATAAAGACTTTTCAACTCCACTTTCTATGTGTGTTTTGTTTATATATCTGAGGTTTAGCGCTAAATAAGATATAGGAAGCCGTATCTCGCGTTGCTAAGTGGTGATGAATGGTCCATTAAAAGTTTTGACTGCTCGCAAAATTTTACCTTTGTTCGATTTGCTCACAAATTTAAACGAGTGCTCGCCTGTTCGCGCTCCCAAAATTTTTGCAGTTGCTCGCATGCTCGCTTTCTTGTCAGTATTGCTCGAGATTTTGGGGATCCTTCTTTGGATTAAAGTAAATGTAATTCTGTATGGTGCTTAATTCCTATAAATATGGCTATTAAGGTGACTCGACCCAGTTTTTTTGGGGGGGTACCATCCTACTTTGAAGTTCTCTGGTATCCCCATCTTTACTTTTATCGTAAGTCTAACACATAGAATGGATAACATATAGATCAATCTACAATATATCATAAAATATTTGGCGATCGGAGTAAATTTCACGTGGTTATAATGCCACGCCCCTTTGAGGTCTGAGTCGAAAATCTGCTGTTGCAGGCATTTTTTGGTGAAAATCTCTCGGCTACACATAGCGCGCATTAGTGCCTTGCGCTGAACAGAGTTTCACCAAAATCGCAAAGACCCAATTCGAGAAATTCAGCGGTTTGCAAATTTAGGTCATAATTTATGCGAAAATGATAAGCAAACTTTACACGGATTATATCTAA